ATCACGGACACTTCCTCCACGACAACGCCCTCGGGGAGGGGTGAAAAGGGCGGCCGCGAGGGCGGCGGCGGCGAGGGTGACGGCGGCGACGGCGAGCCGGAGGGAGGCGGCGGCTCCGCCGGCGGAGGGGCAGGTGGCGGCGGCGAGGGCGGCGGCGGCGACGGCGAGCCGGATGGCGGCGGCGGCGTGGGAGGCGGCGGCGACGGCGACGCGGACGGAGGCGGCGGGGAGGGCGACGCGGAGGGCGGCGGCGGCGACGGCGAGGCGGACGGCGGCGGCGGCGACGGCGAGGCGGACGGAGGCGGCGGCGATGGCGACGCGGATGGCGGCGGCGGCGACGGCGAGGCGGACGGCGGCGGCGGCGACGGCGAGGCGGACGGAGGCGGCGGCGATGGCGACGCGGATGGCGGCGGCGGCGACGGCGAGGCGGACGGCGGCGGCGGCGACGGCGAGGCGGACGGAGGCCGCGGCGACGGCGACACGGACGGCGGCGGCGGCGACGGCGAGGCGGACGGAGGCGGCGGCGACGGCGACGCGGACGGTGGTGGCGGCGACGGCGAGGCGGACGGAGGCGGCGGCGACGGCGACGCGGACGGAGGCGGCGGCGACGGCGACGCGGAGGGAGGCGGCGGCGATGGCGACGCGGACGGCGGCGGCGGCGACGGCGACGCGGACGGAGGCGGCGGCGACGGCGAGGCGGACGGCGGCGGCGGCGACGGCGAGGTGGAGGGAGGCGGCGGCGACGGCGACGCGGACGGAGGCGGAGGCGACGGCGTGGCGGAGGGAGGCGGCGGCGACGGTGAGGCGGACGGCGGCGGCGGAGACGGTGAGGCGGACGGAGGCGGCGGCGATGGCGAGGCGGAGGGAGGCGGCGGCGACGGCGAGGCCGACGGAGGCGGCGGCGACGGCGACGCGGACGGCGGCGGCGGCGACGGCGACGCGGACGGAGGCGGCGGCGATGGCGAGGCGGACGGCGGCGGCGGCGACGGCGACGCGGACGGAGGCGGCGGCGACGGCGAGGCGGACGGAGGCGGCGGCGATGGCGAGGCGGACGAAGGCGGCGGCGACGGCGAGGCCGACGGAGGCGGCGGCGACGGCGACGCGGACGGAGGCGGCGGCGACGGCGACGCGGACGGAGGCGGCGGCGATGGCGAGGCGGACGGAGGCGGCGGCGACGGCGACGCGAACGGAGGCGGCGGCGACGGCGACGCGGACGGAGGCGGCGGCGACGGCGAGGTGGACGGAGGCGGCGGCGACGGCGAGGCGGAGGGAGGCGGCGGCGACGGCGAGGCGGAGGGAGGCGGCGGCGACGGTGAGGCGGACGGAGGCGGCGGCGAGGGCGACGCGGACGGCGGCGGCGGCGACGGCGACGCGGAGGGAGGCGGCGGCGACGGCGACGCGGAGGGAGGCGGCGGCGACGGCGATGCCGAGGGCGGTGGCGGCGACGGCGACGCGGATGGCGGCGGCGGCGACGGCGAGGCCGACGGCGGCGGCGGCGACGGCGAGGCGGAAGGCGGCGGCGGCGACGGCGACGCGGACGGAGGCGGCGG